TGCATGTGGGCAGCCCTAGAGCATGGGCTCCTGGTAAGGATGCCATTCATGGGAGGATGGCCCTTTGGTGAAGCCTTGTGCACTTGTATCAAAGAAGACACCAGTGGTGCATAAAAGAAGGCAAAATCCACTAGAGATAAGTCTTCGAATTGCGGGTCCTTTCGTCCATTTCAGGCTCCTAAGTCTAAACCCAACACCCAAATCTGCCTTAAAGATTTGACTCCCAAGCCTACCAAAGCCACCTCCAGGCCCTTCTCCCAATCAGTGGTGCACCCACTTGTCGGAGTGGGGGGACCTCTGCCTGCCTTTGCGGCCTTCTGGATCCAGGACATTTTAAATGTTTGGACCTACACTGTCCTCTCCAGGGGCTACAAATTGACGTTTCAGACTATGCCTTCACCCTACTTCATGCTCACAAATTTGCCCTCATCTCCACAAAGGCACAAGGATTTTTACACTGCCCTGCAGCTATTGCTCTCCCCGGGGAGTCATTACTCCGTTTCCAGTTGAGGAAACTTTCCAAGGCTTCTACGTAAACCTAGTTATAGGTCTCCAAGCAAATGGGGGCATTTGCCCCATTTTGCACCTGAATATTTTCAACAACATTCTGCATGGAATCTGCTATGTCAGTTATTACATCCCTACAGTAGGTGGAATTCCTGACGTCTCTATATATAAATTATGTTTACTTACGTCACCATTTTTCCCCAACATCAATGCTTTCTGCGCTTTGAGGTGTCCAGGCAATGCTTCCAGTTTGTTGCTCTCCTTTGTGGCCTGTCCATAGCATCTCGCGTCTTAGCGAAGGTATTAGTTCCGCTCGCTGTGCTCTGAGCTCAGGGTGTCCTTTTTGTTGGGGTATCTGGACAACCTCCGGTAAAAGAATTCCTCAGTCGAAGTCCTGTCTGTCAACTTTCAGCGGACTGTAGAGCTTAGAGATGAATCCGCAACCTTCAGAAGTTTGTGTTGGCTCCGCCCCCACAGTTTGGAGTACCTGGGCCTTAGTCCTGGACACAGCACAACCCCAAGAGCACCC